CTTTCTGCATGTATTGAAATGATCATATCATTATGTTTTTTATGCTTGATATTTACATAGTGTGTTACAATTATTGATTCATGTATGTGTTACCATTCTTGCATCCTTGAGAAGCTGACTTATGATGTGATCTATTTAATGATTTGTTAAATTCTGTTTGCACATGTCTTATTGAGGATTTTTGCATTTATGTTCATTAGAGAAATTGACCTGCATTTTTATTTGTTGACCTCTACTCTCATTTTGATGTCATGGTAATGCTAGCCTTATGGAATGAGTTTGGCAGTGTTCCCTCCCTTTCAAATGCAGTAGAGTTTGAGAAACGTTGATGTTAGTTCTCTGAAGTTTTGGGAAAATTCGATGGTAAATATATTGGGTCCTTAGTTGGTAGAATTCTTATGACTTCATGTATTTAAGTGCCTGTTATGGTAGGTTCAGGGCTTTTGTATTTTCTAGGTTCAATTTGGGTAAGTTGTATGTGCCTAGAAAGTTGTCCATGTATTTCAGATTCTCCAATTTATTGGAATGTCTTCAAAATAGTTTCTTAAAGTTTTCTGGATTTCAGTGGTGTCTGTTGAAATTTTGCCTTTTTCATATCTAGTTACATTGAGGTGAGTCTTTTTTCTCTTTCTTTTGGTGAGTTTAACTAGGGTCTTATCAATCTTATTTATTTTTTCAAAGAATCAACTCTTTGATTCATTGATGTATTTTTTTTTTTAGTCTCAGTTTCATTGATTTCTGCTCTGTTCTTTATAATTTCTTTCCTCTACTAGATTTGGGTTTGGGTTGTATTATGAGATATAGCATTAGGTTATTTATTTGTGATCCTTTTCTAATGTAGGCACTCACAGTTATGGACTTCCCTATTAGAGCTCCTTTCATTGTGTCTCTTAGATTCTGATATTTTGTATTTTGATTGTCATTTGATTATAGGAATTTTAAAGTTTCTTCCCTGATTTTTTTCTATGAGCCATTGATCATTTAAAAGTGTACTATTCAATTTAGATGTGCTTGTGTAGTTTCTGTGGGTTTTTTTCTATTGATTTCCATTTTCATAACTTTGTGATCTGAGAGGATGCAAGAGATTATTTTATATTTATTAAGGCCTAAAATTGGGTCATTTGAAGAAAGTTCCATGGACAGGTGAGATTGTATATTCTGCTGTTGTGGCATGAAACATTCTATAGATTTGTTAAATTCATTTGTTCTATGCTGTGTTTTAACACTAATATTTCTTTGATTTCAGTCTGATTGACCCGTGAGAGTGGGGCATTAAAGTCCTCCGCTCTGTTATTTGTATCTATCTGTTGTTTCATGTCAAATATTTTTTGCTTAATAAAATTGGGTGAACTGACATTTAGTGCATATATATTTATAATTGTTATCAGTTTTGTTTGTATGGTATCTTTTTCCATCCTTTTTATTTTTAACATTTTTGTATGTTAAAACTGAATGTGTCTCCTGTAGGCAACACATAGTTGGATACTACTTTTTACATCTATTTTTGCTAATTGATTGGCTTATTCTATTCACAATTGTTTATATATACTTAATTCAGCCATTTAATGTCTTCTATAGGCCATGTTTTAAAAACTGTTCTATTTCTCCTTTCACGTTACATGGACATTCTCTAGTGTTAACATTTTAATTCCTTTAATTTCCTACTGACTGCTCAAAGGCTTTCCATATACATCTTATCAGAATACTAATACTAACTTCAATGTGATAGAAATGTTCCTCTTCAATAGCTTTATACCCTCTTTTGGCGCTGTTACACATATTCAAACCCAACTATACATTTTTATAGCTACTTGTGCAATTTTATAGCTACTAAGCTGACAAAAGAAAAGTATAGTTTCTTATATTAATTTTGTTTTACCTTCTTATTCTCTCCATTTGTTTCTGTAGTTTCAAGTTGCCATCTGTTATTTCTTTACTTCAATAGATCTTTGCTTTCACCACTTCTTTTATACTAGTGTGAAATGTTACATTTTGATAAGTCATATTCTCAATAATACAATTATATACAGGTCATTTTATAATCATTTAAAAGGAGAAAGGCAAAGAAATATGCAATTATACTAGTACAATAATATAATTGCCATTACTATTACTTTTTTAAAAATATGGGTTCAAATTAATATCTTGGGTTATTTGCTTTTGTAGTGACTTGAAACCATAACTTCCTTCAGTATTTCTTATAAGGGTAGTCTGGTAGCAACACATTCTCCCAAATGTCATCTAGATATGTTTATTTTTCAAAGAGTTTTGCTGCACAAGTCTTGGTTAGTTTTTTTTTTCATTGAGCATTCTGAATATGTCATCCCACTTCCTCTAGCCTCCTTTGTTCCTGATTAGAAGTTTTAGTGCTTTTTTATTGGACTTCTTGGGTGAATTGTTTTACTCTTGCTGCTGTCTAAACTTTCTCTTTGAGTAATTTTATTTTGGTTTGTCTGTCCTTGTACTTTTGCTACTTGAAATTAGTTGTTTCTTAGATGTACATTTGTTTTTTCCCCTCACATTTGAAGTTTAGTCACACATACACACTCTCAGTCTATTTTCTTCTTTGGTGTTCTAAGTATGCCCATGTGCTTAATGTGATCCACATTGAGGTTCTGTTTATTTTCCTTCGATCTTTCCCTTCTTCAGATTGCATACTCTCTATTAACGTATCTTCAAATCACTGACGGATTTGGTAGTTCAGATATACTATAAGCTCCATAATAATTTTAAAATTTCCATTGTTGTATACTTTTCAATTCTTTTTCATTTTTAAAAATATAATTATTTCATGGCTGGGGATGTAGCTCAGTGGTACATCTCCTACCTAGTGTGTACAAGGCCCTGGGTTTGATCCTCAGCACTGCAAACAAAACAAAACAAAACATGCACACAAAACAAACACTATTATCTATATAATTATCTCTGATATTCTTTACTGATGAGTGGTATAATTAGTCTTAAAGCATGATTTCCTTTTGTTCTTTGAAGATATTTACACTGGGTGCTTTGAGTTTTACTTCAAACTAACATTTGGGTACCCTCATAGGTAGTTTGTGTCCCTCCGCCTCACTAGCACACACTGTTTCTTTGCATGTCTTGTATTTTTCTTTGCAAACTGGACATTTGAAGGAATATATTGTACCAATTCTGAATATTAATTCTGTGAGGCTTTTTATCTGTTAGCAATTTGGGTAGAATATTTCAGCCAAGGCTACTTTCCCTGGGTATCAATAAAATTTTGATGTTTATGCTTAACTGGTACAGAATCAAGAATGTAGTTACCTTGGATGAGTTTTTCTTTTCTGTAGTGCTGCGATGAACAACCCAGGGCCTACCACATGTTAACCAAGTATCCTACCACTGAGCTACAAGGCAGCCCAAAGGCACTTTGTGGTTTCTCTTTCTCCAATCTCTTCTGTAGTGGTTAGTCTCCATTCTCTGCTGGTTATTTGCTCTAGTATTTTTGACATAATCCTGGGACACCAATTGCTCAAGTCTGAATTAAATTCAAATAGAAACCATATCTGGACACTTTTTTTTTTTTTGAAGTTTTTGCCTTCAGAAAAAGGCTCGTCTTTCACTAATTTTGTCCAGTCAGTTGGCTGGTTGTTTGGTGAGCTATCAGCCCCTTATTAAGTGCTTTCCATTAAAATAAAATTCATTTTTTAGGGTATCCATAGCTCGTACTTTCCCACATTTTGCTTCAAATACACTCAGTTCCTTTTGTGGAGAGCTTTCCAGGGGGTTACCCCTAGTCAAAAATCTCTTGGGCCACTGCTCTAGGTGCTAGGTAGGGCCATAAGTTGTCTCTTGGTCTTCAAGGCATCCTTTTGCAGTAGGAAACTTCTACCTAATGAGCCAGGGCAAGGGTAATTGGGCTTACAGTATTTTGAGCCTGTCCTTCCCAGGATAGATGGAACTTCTGCCATGTGTCTGACAGCAGGATAAAAGAAGTTTTATTACCTTTTGGCTGCCATCACCAGGAATTTAGCCTGGTTTGGAAGGGATGACGACTTTAACAAGCCCCCCACCCTGGTGAGATGCTGAATCTCTTGACTGGGAGAAAAGGGATAGGAAATCATATCTTTCTGGCCACAACCATTTAGTATGGAGCTTCCATCAGGCTGAGATGAAGGGCAGGAAGGGGAGAGGTTCCTGGTTCACTTCCACAGGGTTTTTCTGTTCCTACTGAAATTTAAGTTTTTGTTGATAAATGTTTCATTTGCTATACGCCACAAGGACAATTTCTAAATTAAATCGTTGTTCAACAGTTAATGCTTGTTTTGCTAGGAAGCAGGTCTGCAAACCCGTTGCCATTCTATAAGCAGAACCTCCACCATTGATTTTTAAACACTTTTTATTTTCTTAGAGGCTATACTGATGACTATAATACACATTTAATTCAGTGTAGGTCATTCACTTAATACTAATCTGAAAAAAAATCCAAATAAATTATGCTACAATATTGTATTTCCTTCCTCCAAATTTATGCTTGTCATATATATTGTATCTTATAAATTAAACATTATAATCACTGTTTTGTCTTCCAGTCAAAATTAGTCTTTTTATATATAAATTTACCCACCTACTTTACCTTTTATAATACTCAATTTCCTCCAGTGGATTTGAGTTATTGTCTGGAATAATTTCAGTCTTTAGGATTTTCTTTAGCAATTTTAAAGCATATTGGCTAGCAATGTATTATCTACGAGTGTCTTTATTTTGAATTTAAAGAATAGTTTTGCGAGATGGAGAACTTTTGGTCAATTCCTTTCCTTTCACTTCAAGTATAGTAGATCATCTATAGCCTTCAGTCCTGCACTGTTTCTGATGAGCCAGCTGTTGTACTGTTGTTTCTCTGTAAGATGAGTTTTCTTATTCTCTTCAAGATTTTCTTGTTTCCCAACAGCTATAACATGTCTACATGATTCTCTTTTTATCTTGATGTTCCACAGATTTTAATATGAAGCTTACTTATAATGAAATTGGACTATCTCTTCAAGAAGCATTTATATTTTTATTTCATTTACTTTAATAACAGTTTTTTATTGATATTAGTTTAAAAAAATGTAGTATTAGGGCTGGCATGTGTGTAACCCAGTGGTAGAGCACTTGCTCAGCATGCATGAGGCCCTGGGTTTGATCCTCCCTACTGGGTGAGGGAAAAGAGTTATCACATTTTTTTCCTCTCAGAAACAGTAGGGAGGGATAGTATCTTAGGTTTCCTTTCTACATACATAGCATTAAGAGGTGAAGTGGTCATAGATGATCTGATATGAAATGAGTGTTTCCATTGGAAAATCAGAATTTTCTTCATATATTATGATTTAAAAGGGAGAATGAAATAGTAGTGCTTCTTTTCTGGAATAGACAATTATTTATAAGACCTTAAATATAACCTTTAGTGAAATGTCATGCATTATAAAAAAGGGATAATTATGAGTGATGTAGAGATGGCTACATGTGCTTTCTTAAGAATGCCACATCCTTTATCACACAGATTTGAAATATTTTTTGTCTACATCTTACAAGCACTTTGAAAGACTGGAGACCTACATCGGCTAAAGGACAACCAATAAATATAATTAGTTCTTCATCAACACAATAAGGTTAACAATGATGATTAAAACACTTGCCGTTATAGGCAAAATACTAATCTTTGTTTACAAATCAGTAGGCAAATGTGTAATTACCAAACAATGTATAGCACAAAAACAAGAAAATGTTCTAAGTCTAGGTATTATGATAGGTTTTTTTCCTAATATACATAATTATCAATTTATTATAAAAACCTACATATACAATATTTGATCAAAAATCTTTTAAAATATATTCAATATGAAATGTATAGAAAGAGACATTTCAAAGTCATATCAGTTACTACTATTACAATATTTAATCATTTTTACAAGAGGTCTGCTGGTCTATTTCAATTAAATTTGTTCTCAGAACTATTACATTTCTCGCTGAATCTCATTTAGAGCACAAGCAACTTGGTTAATTTTTGCTTCCATTGCTTTTTTGTTCTTGCATGTTTCTTCCAAAAGTTCACGCATTTCTTCTTCAATTCGATGAACCTGAATCAATATGTAAACATTAATTTTAGTTTACTAGTAAAATGTATTTTTTAATACATTCTGAAAGAAAAAAGTCAATTTGTTCTTAGGCATTTTGTGATTTCTAAGTCATTTAATGCAGTAAGGTGAGTACAATATAATTTGATCAAATGCTAATAGAGAAAAAACAACACTTATACAGTATACAAAGTATTTTCACATATATTATCTATTTAGTTCTCAGAGAATTTTTGTGAAAAAGGATATTTTTGTGAAAATTCTTTTGTGATAAAATTCTTATGAAAAGGGATATATTTTTTGGTACCAGGGATTGAACTCAGGACTTTACACTTGCCAGGCAGGTGTGGTGCCACTGAGCTACATTCCCAGCCCAAGGATAATATATTTTAACTCTGTTTTAAAGCTTAGAAAATCTGCTTAAGGTTGTGCAATTTCTAGGTACCAGGGTGAAGAAAGAAACCCATTTTTCTGACTTAATCTTTCTATTGTCCTTTGCTGTGTCGAAACACTGAGTTGTAAATTTATCTTACACATCAATATCTTTACAGATTTTCCAATTTTTACATTGTTTTCTCTCTCTTTGATGTAGTCTGTACTACAGTCCTTCCCTCCTTTATTCCACTGAGAATTGAACCCAAGGAGAACTGAGCTATATCTTTTTTTTTTTTTCGGTACCGGGGATTGAACTCATGTCCTTGTGCTTGTGAGGCAGGCGGCGGAACCACTGAGCTAAATCCCCGGCCCCATCAGCTATATATCTTTTCAGAAAGAGTGCCGCTAAGTTGCCCAGGCTGGCCTCAAACTTGCAATCAATCTTCCTGCCTCAGCCTCTGGAGAAGATGGGATTACAGGTGTACATTATCATGCCCAGCTCTGTGCATTTCTAAAAGTGTTGTTGGTGATTACATATTGCCATCTTTTTGAGAGATCACTTTATGATATATGTTCCCTTAAGATCTCTGTATTTGGTACTGTTAATTTTGACTTGAAAATCTCTTGCTTATAAGTATCTCAACACCATCAATATGACCATCCTCTTGTATCTACTTTATTCTTCCTAATCCTTAACACAAGTTTCTGAAGATCTTTTTGCTTAGAAAATTATTATTTCTACTTTTAAACTGTCACCTTTGTGTGACGCTCTATAATTCCTCCTTAAAAACCTGATTATCACATTTAAACTCTGGTTTTACTTCTTTAACTCTTTAACAAACCCTTCCCTTTAATATTATTTCATGTTGGCAGGGGGGTAACATTGAACCCAGTGTTTCCTTTTTTTCTATGGGCCTCATTTTACACTTTATTTTGTATTATCTGATGTACTCCTGTTAAACACTTGGAAGATGATAAATTAAATACCTGAAATATCTATTGACTTAAACTAAAAATAATTCCGGAGGAAGTTATACTTCTTTATTCATTGTGACTACTTCTACAGATGTTACTCACTCTTTCTCTTTGCATAGAGTCCTGAAGGTAATTTCACTTGAACACAGAACTTTACATTCTACATGTAGCATTACTTTGCCTTTCTGCTGCTTATTTTTTTCCAGTTGCTCATTTATGAATCTCTGGCTTAGATACCTTAGTTTCTTAGTGCCACTTCAAAATCAAGGAAAAATGGAGATTCACAACTATGCCCAAATCTAGTGGATCTCAACAGATGGGTCACACCAGAATCAACTGTGGAGTTTTAAAAATACTTGGACCTGATCCAGGTATGCAAGTCTCTAGGGGAAGCTCATGAATGTGTATTATTAAAAAAAAGCTTCATAGGTGATTCATATATTTGCCTTTGATCTTATATTACCCAAAACTCATTTGTCAACATTACCAAGATGACAGAGCTGGTGGTCTTGAACCCTAATAAAGAACTCTTTGAGAAGTTTTTTAAGATAGTGGTGGATTATGTTTTTTGGATTATGTTTAATACATTCACATTCTTACCTCACTTATGTCTAACCAAAGGAATGTCCATAAGAGATTGGTTAGAGATAGGAAAATACTTTTCCAGGGATCATGGAGAATGTGCACATGAGGATCAAAGTTATAATTCTAGCTTCATTAGAATTATGTTCAGTTTCGCCGCCTGCTGCGCAAGTACAAGGACCCAAGTTCGATCCCGGGTACCAAAAAAAAAATAATTATGTTCCACACTAATCTAAGTATTACCAAGCCTTGTTTCAGGATAGTTTTGCAACATCCCTCATCTATTAGGTTGTAAAATCACGCTAGCCTTCTTCTTCGTAATTTCCAAAGACTTAATTTACTTAGTTATAACCAATTAATACTGATTATTGGGATAAATTTTATTTACAATACCTTTAAATTTGCAGAATCAATGCATTTCTGTTTTTCACTTGTCAACTGTACTATTTCAGCTCGATGAGCTTCAATAATTGCATCTACTTGTTTTTTAAAGGCATCATCCATACTATGAAGCTTTTCAACTGCATCCCTTTAAAAAAGCAAAACAAAACAAAAAAATGAACAAAACAAAAAACAAAATATCACATGTGGAGGATGGGTGTATGAGGAGTTTTATGGGGGATAGAGGAGGGGATATCCCTGTCATGTTATTGATACTACTATATCTTTTTGAGACAGGGTCTCTCTATGTGGTCCAGGCTGGCCTCAAATTTGTGGTGATTGTCCTGTCTCAGCCTCCTGAGTGGTGGGATGACGGGTATGTGCCACCACACCTGGATTACCATTCTGTATCTTGACAGGAGAACTGATCATTAAACTATATTATCTATTTTCAAGAAACTTTTTATAATTTTATAAATTATTTTAACAGATCTATTTACTCACACAACAAAGTAAAAGCTTATTTCCTCTTATGTACTTATAGAATGTACACGAGAATGGCAGCATCTCTTTAAAAATCAGTTCCCATTTTCAGCTTGTGTAGGCCCACTACTATGTGAATTTGCTCCAGCCCCTTCAGGAACTCACCAAATACATCATTAGCTACTTTCATTCAAACAGTTTTAAAACAATAATCATATAAGAAAAGCAAAAAGCAAGTACTATGTGTGAAGCACTGCTGTACAAATTAATTCATATAAACCATATATATTTATAAATGTATACTATTAACATAAATGTCAATTTTATATCCAACATTTAAAGTGGGAACTATTACTATCTTCATTTTACAGATGGAATGCAAATAGGAAATAAAGTTCTTGGGCAAGTATATGAGAAAGTATGTCCCATACATTTTTTTTTGTTTTGTGTTTTGATTTTTGAGAAAGGGTCTCTCTATGTAGTTCAAGCTGGTCTTGAACTCACGGTGATCCTCTTGCCACAGCCAGCCAAGTACTGGGATTATAGGCATGTGCCACCATGCCTGGCTTGTCCCATGTATTTTTTCCGGTATCAGGAATTGAACTCTGGACCTTGTGCTTGCCAGGTAGGCGCGGTGCCACTGAGCTACATCCCCAGCCCAGTCTCATATATTTTTGATACCTCTTTCTTTTTTCACCCACCCCAATTCAACATTTATGTTTAAAGAGATCTCACATCCTTTAGGACTACTTACTTCTGTAGTTCAATACTTTTGTCCCTTTCTGCTTTAAGTTTTCTTTCCTTGTTTTCAAATTTTTCTTTCACTTCTCTTACTTGTGTTTCGAGATGACTTAGAAGTTCTCCTTTATCATGCCATTTCTGATTAAGTGTACTAATATGTGAGAAGTAATTTAAAAAGTAAATTAGTTGTATGAAATTATTAAGCCACATTTTTCTTCTTTATGGAAAATATAAAATACCTGTAAGCTTTTCTTATTTCTTCAAGTTCTACTTCCTTTGCTTTCAATTGTTCTTTCATGTTTTCCTTTCTTTCATTGTGCCTTTCTAGTTTTTCTATTATATTATCTAGCTGTACAGATTTTTCATCGAGTTGTTGTTGAGCACATTTTTCTATTTCAGTGATCTTTTCTTGTAACATTTTGATTTGTTTATCTTTTTCTTGTAGACACTAAGAAAAAATTCATTTTTGTTAATCTTAAATAACAAAAATTCTCATTTTGATTAATTAGATATGGTTAAATAAATTAACATTTAAAAGGATGTTTTAAACATAAAATGTTATTTTTTCTTATTGACACTGAATAGTTCTAGTTATTTCAAAAGCTACAATAAAATTTTACATAAAACTTTGAACTAAAATTTAAGTTCATAAATATCTGGTAACATTTTAAGAGTACAGGGGCAAATATTATAAAAGGAAATACATGACTTTCTATATTAAATTCTACAGCAGTTGGGATAAGTTATTTTTTTGGATACTTTAACCTTCTCAGATTTTCAAACATGACACTGTTCTTTTCCCAAAAGAAAATGTCAAACTTACATCTTTTAATTTTCTAATGGTTTCAGTTTGGTCTTCTACAATTTTGCACTTTATTCTTAATGCATCACTCTCACTTTCATTTGCTTTTCTCAGAGATTCATTCTCTCTACATAAACTTTCAATTTGGGCTTCTAATTTTCCACGATTTTGAGCCAGACATGATCCTAAGAAACAAACATCATCAGTTAGAAACTTTAATATACCTTGAAAGTTTTGTATTGTATGAAAATCTAATCTAATGAACAAAAAACAAAAAAACAAGGCATATAATGTACTTCTATGAAGAAGAGACAGGAGACAAAACAAACAAAAAAACACACCAGGCTTTCTAAATACCTAAAATCACAAATAAAATCAAGAACAAGTAACTCAGACATGTGATATTTAATTCATGTCATGGCAATCAAACAAAATCATATTTAGAATTCCAACAGAAGAATTTTTAAAAAATTTTAAAAAAGAGAATTCCTACAGAGAATAGGTAAATGAGAAATGCCCTGTTAAAAACAACATCTAGGTATTCATAATTTTTAAGGTATCCATAAATGTCACAAAGAAGTGTGTTATCTATTGCTTTATAGTGACTGGAAAAAGAATGAGACCAAGGGCTTCCCTAAGCCTAAAGTGGTTTTCACTCATGTACTATTTTACATTTCTGTATGCACAACAGTAATTATAAACAAGTGGCCAAATTATATTAGCAAGAAAACAATAAAATATATCAGAGCTAAAGAATTTTGAATGTTTACCACAAAGAAATGATAAATGAGTATATTTCTGTATAAATTTATATAAAAATTTTAAAATATATGAGCTATAACTTTTTTGTTTGCAGTTACTGAACTCAGGGGTTTGTGCACCCTAAGCAAGCACTCTTGTCAGTGAACTACATTCTTAGCCCTCAGAGCTCTAACTTCTTAATTGGTGTAGTAAAATTATTTCCCTTTTCCTAAGTGCCATTCTTTCATGTTTGGCTGGCAAATGCCTATTTATTCTTCTAGACAGAGAGTTATCTTTTTTCTTGGCATCTATAGGTAGTCCTTTTCACACCAATACCCAGATTGTTTTGCTTCTAAGAATGGCTATTTCCATTGAAAATTTGAGAGTTTTACCCTGTTGTGCCAGCTCATGTCCCCACACTTTTCTTTCTGTCCTTAAGCCATAAATGAGTGATTCCTTGGCTGCTAGCTCAGAAATAAGCTCGTCTTTTTCATGCTTGAGAAGTTCTATTTGAATACTCTTCTCCTTGTCATCTTCAATCAAAATTTCAAGAGTGTTGATTTGATTCTGTATAGCCCCCAAAATTAAAAAAGCAAAATAGTTATTATATTAAGTGATTCTTTATTTTCTATTTTTGCATTTTATGAGAAAAATTGTTATTTAAATAAAAATAAATGTGCTAAATTTTATATCAGAATTTTTAGTTTAATTCACTAATGATAAATATAGGTATATGAACTAAAAAGTCAAATTTTAGGTGACACACCTTTGAACACTTATTTTATTCGAAGTTTATAAAAGATGAACTATACCTATAATATTGAAAATGTTTCAAGAAATATTTATATCAATAGTTTAAAAGTTACTTCCTGGGAGTTACCTTGTACAAAACAGCACAAATGTCTAAAGCTGAGACAACAGCAATAAAGACATTATAGCTAAGTATGTCTAACAACCACCACCACCACAACTTAGTATCAACAATACAAATCATGTTTCTCAAATTTCAACTCTTTGAGTACCACTTTCTCAATTTTTATTGTATCACTATACAAGCAGCACCTATTTAGCATGTTTTTTAAAATTAATTCACTTATTTTCCTTAAAAACTATTTTAATTTAAATCTGTGAAATCATGTTTTGTCTGTTGTAATTTTCTCAAACACAGTGTATAATTAGTATCATTCAAAAGTTCATTTTGTGCACTCTTAAAATCAATAAACTTGAAAAAATGATGAAAAACATTAAAAGGAACAGTGTTAGACAGTCTTACCTGTAAATTTGCTGCTGTTTCCTGTTTCACTTTGGAAACTTCTGCTAGTTTTGCTTTTTGTTCCTTTACCATACAGGTTAGATCTTTAATTAAAGAAGAAGATTCATTTTCTTTTCTTTGAGCCCAAATAAGAGCATGTTTGCTCTTGGCTAACTCAGTTGCAACATTTTCAAAACCTTCTTTAACCTATATTTCAAAATTGTATTATAAATGGCAATTCTCTAAATAACTAGAAATATTTGCTTCTGGAAATAGTATACATCTTTCATTTTTAGAATCAGTTTTAGCAAAAAATAAAATGTAGATAATTTGTTTCAATCTACTAATTTCCAAATGAAGAAACAGAGGCCCAGGGAGATTATCCGTTTATCGAGTTATCCAGGGAATTAATGGATTTACAGACAGAATTCATTGATTTGACAATTATTTACTGAGGGCCTGTTGTATACAGCCATTGCTCTAGGTAATGGAATATATCAATGAATAACAAACACTAAAATCTCTGCCTTTATAAAGGTTACATTCTAGTGGGTACCATGATATATACCTTATTATACTTATTGTTAGATATTATGTGCTTGAAAAAAAAGGTTAGAAGGATGAAGTATTGAAAGAGGAAGATTCAATTTCAAATAATATAATTACTGAGAAAGTAACACTGGAGCAATGACTTGAAGGAGGTAAGAGAGGAAGCTATGCATATATGCAGGGTAAGTGTTCTAGACAAGGTGTATGGTATGTTGGATGAAAAGCACAATGGCTAGTTTCATTGGAGTTTCATGGATGGAGGGAAAGATGATAGGAGATGAAAATTTGAGGACTAGATTATAGAGGGTTTTAACACTGAATAACTTTGAGGGTTAAACTGATTAAAATGAAGGGACAATAGAGTTCTTTGAGGAGGGGAGTTGTATTATCTAATCTGTATTTTAAAAGAACATTACAGATGCTATAATCAGTATAAACAGGAATGAGGGGCATGGTGGAAGAAAGAAGATCAATTAAAAGTTTTAAAAATAATATAACTGAAAGACATCATGACATATACCAGAGTGGCAGTAAAAGAGATGGTAAGAAATGACCATATATTTTTTCAATAATGGTTTTACAATATCTTGAGGCCCTGGATATGGAGTGTCAGAAAAAACGGGAGTCCATAATGATTCTAATGGAGCCTAAACCTGTAGAAGGCTGGAGGTATCATTAACTGAGATGGGAAGACAAAGTAGAAAGTTTGGGGGAAAGCCAGTAGTTAAGAGGTAAAGATGGCAAGTAGGTGCTTACACATATAAGTTTAGAATTCAGGAAAAAGGTCTAGGCTGGAGATAAAAAAACGATGGCAAAAGAATTTACCAAAAGATTGACTGTGTCTAGAAAAGAAAAAAGGTTTAATAATTGAAACTTGAACATTCAGAAATAAAACTTTCACAAAAACAAGACAGCAGTAAGAGAGTCTGAAAATAAATGAAATAACAGAAAGAAAACCAAGAGGTAAAAGTATGCTGGTAACCAAGTGAAGAAAAAATCTAATGGGGGAGAGAGATCAACAGAGATCAAATACTGCTCTGAGGTCAAATAAGATGAGGACTAAATTGATGATTTCCAGTGTGGATGTTGCTGGCAGCTTTGACTACAGCAATGATAGTAGAGCAGTACAAATAAAAGCTCAATCAGAGCAGGTTAGAGAGCAGAGAAGTAGAGAAATCAGTAATGGCAGATATACAATTTTGAGAAGTTCTGATGTAAATGACAGGAGAAACAAGGTGGTAGCCAAATGATATCAGAGTTTTAAGATGAGAGAAACCACAGTGTCGGATGTATGCTACAGGGAGGGAAAAATTGCAGATATAAGAGTGTGAAAGAGAAGATTTGCTGAAGCCATATCCTTAAGCAGGGAAGAGAAAATGGATCTAGAGTATACCTGGTGAGACTGGACTTAGGAGCAAGACTGTTCTTCTGCCACAGGGATTGACAAATTATGTAAACTGGGGTTTTCCAAGCCAGGCCATACGATCTTTATTGGAAATACTCAACTTTGGTCTTCTAATACAAAAGCAGTCACAGATAATATGTAAACAAATGGGCCTGGCTCCTTTCCAATAACACCTCATTTAAAAAAAAGGGCGGTAGGTTATTGGGCCTGTGATCTTTAGTTTTGCCAGACCCTGCTCACACTAATGGGAGAGAATTCAGATTCTCAGGTCTAATACTCTCTTTACTTCACCATTTATAATCTTAGTTTTTAGTTTTTACCAACAGGAAGAAAAGTACTTACAATTATTATTTAGTTTATTTTTTTGAGACAGAGTCTTACTATGCATTTCAAGCTGGACTTGAATTTACTATGTTGCCCAGCCTAGCCTCAAACTCACAGCAATCCTTCTGCCTCAGCCTCCCAAGTGCTGGGATTAAAGATGTGTGCCATCATGCCCAGCAAAGTAGCTATTATTTATTTATTTATTTATTTGGTACCAGGGATCGAACTCGGGTCCTTGCGCTTGCGAGGCAGGCGACGGAACCACTGGGCTAAATCCCCGGCCCTGTA